CTTCCTATCTCCCCAGCCTCCCCCTCCCTTCCCATCACTTCTCTCTACCTAATCTAAGGTAACACTATTATTTTTTCTCACATCTTCATACATGTATTTTGTATAACAATGAAGGTCTCCTTCCACCATCCATGCAATTCCCTTTCTCCCTCCTTTTTCCTCCCACCCCTCTTCCCTGTGTAGAAGTAATCTTCTTCCCATGCTCTTCCTCTCTTCCCCATTTTGAGTCACCCCCCTTATATCAGAGAAGACACTCGGCATTTGTTTTTCTTAGGATTGGTTAACTTCACTTAGCATAATCTGCTGTAATGCCATGCATTTCCCTGCAAATGCCATGGTCTCATTATTTTTAGTGCTGAGTAATATTCCATTGAGTATATATGCCACATGTTTTTATTCATTTATCCATTGAAGGGCATCTAGGTTGGCTCCACAGTCTAGCTATTGTGAATTGAGCTGCGATAAACATTGATGTGGCTATGTCCCTGTAGTACGCTGTTTCTTTATTGTTCTTCTTAGATATATATGACAGTAGACTGTATTTGAATATTTACATCATAGATTATAACTTCACATTTTTATATTTGTACATAATGTGGAGTTACACTGGTCATGTATTCACATGTGAATATAGGAAAGTTGTTTCAGATTTATTCTACTGTCTTTTCTGTTTCCATTTTCATTCCCATTCCTTTTGTCTTAATTCAATGAACTTCTATTCTTTTTTCCCACATTCCCTACTGTGTGTTAGCATTCACTTATAAAAGAGAACTTCCAGCCTTTGGATTTGGAGGATTGGCTTATTTCACTTAGGATGATAATCTCCAGTTCCATCCATTTACTGGAAAATGCCATAATTTCATTCTTTCTCACAGCTTATTAATATTCCATCCTGTGTACATGACACATTTTTTAAATCTGTTCATCTGTTGAAGGTCTCATAGCTTGAATATTCTGATTTGAGTCACTTTAGACATTATTGTGGCTGTGTCACTGTAGTATGATGATTTTAAGGATTTTGTGTGTAAATCAAGGAGTGGAATAAGTGGGTCAAATGGCAGTTACATTCCAAGATTTCTGAGGACTCTCCATAGTGCTTTCCAGAGCGATTGCACCAATTTGCAGTCCCATCAGCAATGTGTAAGTGAACATTTTCCCCACACTGCCACCAACATCTATCATTATTTTATTCTTTTCAGTTGCCATTCTGACC